TCTCTTCCACTAGAAAGGTCGTTAACTCGCGTATCATGCTATTTGTGTCCGACAGCATCATCAATATGTGAAAGAAAAATGGTCCCTTCATCTTTATAAAATCTTCCAGCAATAACTCAATAAATATCACCACTATAGCTTCTCGTACGGCTGGATTCGGATCCTTCATGCTGATGCATAAGTCCGGAAGATACGGTTCCACAAGAGCAGTAAATCTCACGCAGATATCGGCTAGCGCTTTCGCAGCGTTTATCTTCACCGATGTTTTTATCAATGAATTCGAATTCGTTTCCTGACGCATTACGTTACCAAGTATCGGTGTGACTTTTTTCGCGACTTCGCGATCTCTCAGCGCTTGCTGACAGAGAAGGACCACCGCGGATGCCTGTAGATCCTTTATTTCTTTCACCGTATCTGGTAACGATTCCCATTGCAACAGTAATCGTTCAAAAATTCGTAAAGTTGACGACGAAATCTTGTTGGTGCAGAAAAGCGATGCGTGACTCAGTGTAAATACAGCTCTGATTTTCACTGTGTCTTGCGTACAATTTCTGTTCTCCTTCAACAAATCTTGAATCTCCATCTCCGACAATTTCATCAGTTCCACCATATCCGATTCTATCACGTGATTGCTCTGGTCGACATGTAAATACCGTAAGATACTATTCAAAATATCCAGACAGATACTGATTAAGTTGAAATTGATTTCGAAGTGACAAATACATTTGTAAAGATGCTGATAGAGATCCTCGAGGTAATCATGATTCAAGATGGACCAAGCGTGCCTCAAAACGTGTAAAACTAAACTGGCGTGGAAATCGTTCTTTCGAATAACTTCCTTATAATCTGCGATATATTTATCTATATTCGGAATCTTCATATTCTCAGCTAGAGCGGCTAACAGTATCCACGCGCCTATAGTGTTATCTGTACCGATATGCGATTGCAAATTCGATATCATAGACTTGGTAATAACGCCGTTCTTCACCCATAAGCTGCAAGCTTTCGACAGATGTTTCCTCATTCTCAGGTTACTCAATCTATCCAGAATCCTCCACGGCAAGCTATTCGCAGCATTCGGAATATACTTAGTG